GCAGGACTGACCTGCTTGAGTTCCTGGTTCCAATACTCTTGGAAGTCAGGAGGCTTCAGACAGAGAAAATGCTAAAGACTTCACAATGCCACATGAGGCTCCTCCGCTAGCTCTTCACCCACAGACAGCTGTGCTGGGGAGGCGGAGGCGCCCAGGAAACCAAAGTCAGGCTCTCTGAAAGTCACAGTGACTCTGCTTCCCTCTACTGTCCGCTAGTCACGGCCGAAGAAGAAAAAGAGAAAAGGGTTTATTTTATTATTACAGCATAAAAATCCTAAAGGCCTCAGGGAAGCTCCTGTCCACACATTCCAAAGCAAATCTGTAAAGATGGGGGCTGGGGAGCAGGGAAGCAGACAGCTGTTTAGAATTACTGGCTGTGCGTCTAATGCCATAAACGCAAATTTAAGCTATGAAAAAACAAGTAGTCCAAGAGGGAAAGAATTCAGCTTGTTGGGGTACCAGAGGACCAGTTTCTGCACTGACCGAATAAAATGCCGGAGGCTCCTGGCAATCAAAAGTACTAATGTGAGGCCTGCTCAGAAACTGCTCAGGAATCTCCCTGGGAACTGGTCCCCATCCCCCAGAGCCAGGGATGCTGCATCGAAGCATCTGCAGCAAGAGAGCTGGAAAGATAACTAAGTGACAAGAATCTACAGCTCCCTTTCAGTGACAACCACGGAGTCCTGGGCGAGCAGCTGACACATTGCAGCTGTAACAACAACACACAGGGCGGCACAGGCACACGGCTGACATCAGGGCAGAACACATGTGCGCACACGCAGAGTTAAAAGCCAATCCCAGAGTCTGGCGGTGATATGCAGCCATGCTGCTCGCGGAGAGGTGACAACACGAGAACAAGTGGTACAAGCTAAGTGGTGCACACACATTTTTGAATCGCAGACAGGCTGCTTTAGAAACGGACACAGTTAATTAGGCACAGATGTGTAGTGTTTTCCATGACCTCTTTTTGAGACGTCTGCCATGGGTGCTTATTGGTGTCTTATGATACACAGTGAAAACCGAGGAAGTCACCCTAAGACCAATGGTCTTTGCTGAGGAACCCCCTGGGCCTTCCCCGCTGCTGTTGAGGGCCGTGTCATGTGCTGCCATCGACAATGACTTTCTGTAGAAACACTGCGTGTGGCCCATCAAGTCCTTAAGTCGCGCTGCATGCATGTTCTCTGTCTGCCAGGCCCCAGGACTCAACGTTTCAGAGAAAAGGTTCGATGTTTTAATTTCAAGGAAAGTTTTCACTTCAGTGTCTTTCTCTTAATGGTTCAAAATTGAAAGAAGCCAGAGTTGAAAAGTTATTTATTATCTTCCCTCCATTAATTTGTACATGTCCACAAAACACATCACTTGCAGATCCATGAAAACTATCCTGGCTTTTCCAATTTCTGGAAGAGAAAGATGAGGTCCACAGCCCAGCTGGACTATGGAAATGCCACCGTGGCAAGGAGGGTCCAAGGACTGCGCGGGAAGGAAGTGCTGCGGGCACCTGACTCTCAGCTGACCAATACTCGCAGGAACAGCAGAGCCTACGGGGCCTTAAAAACGACCTGCTGTTATCTCCTCGCTTAAGAGAGGAAGGAGCTGGGTCTGGGAAGGAATCCTTGCCAGTTGGTGGCAAAGAGGAGACTTGAACCCCATTTTCCTGTACACCTTAGCATCAGTTATTCTGACTCTAAAAAATACCTTTGAAAACCTAATAGGACTGATGATGATCACGAGCTAAGTTTTCAAACTATCCAAAATACAAAACTATTTAACAGTCCACTTTGTCTAATTATTGAGTTCTTGGTAATAAACAGGAACTTCATTTGCCCTCCCACTAGCCTAACCATCTTCCCTCAAATGCCAGTATATGCAAATGAGAATGTAAATCAGTGAGTCCTGTGTTACGATCAAGGTGCTTTCAGATGCTCTTACCTTCTCTTGGTCGCACTTGGAAGACCTCATCAGAGAGTTTTCTGCAAGTTCTTTGACTGTGCCTGAACCAAGAATGACTTTTGAGTTCTCATTAGATGACTGTAAAAGTCAAATTGCCTTTCAGTCAAGAACCATCAGTCAAGAAGGGAACACTATGTCACTTCAGGACCTTTGAGGGTATGAGTTGGTTTCATGTCTTGATCAAGTGGTAGGTTCAGGAAGTGGCTGAGCCATCAGCGAGTAGTAACTTTCAAATAGTCAACTCTTTAGAAGGGGCAGCTTGCAAGAGAGGCGCAAAGTCAGACAAGAGACCAGCCCTGGCAGTTGTCTGAAGTGCTGCCCAATGCAGTGATCGGCAAGCATACACTGAAGCCTACAGGGTTGCAGTGATATGCCATGTTCTGGATTGGCGTGATTCTAACGTTTGAAATGTTTTGCAATAAGGCATTAAACTGCTGGACTTTGGAGGTAGGTTTGCAAATCACTGGAAAATCAAAAGAGAAACATATTGTGTTAAAAAAAAAAGTGACCCTAAGTTTGAAGATGTAGGATATAGCATATGGAACACTAAATTGTCAAGATGCATGCCAACATGTCCTGTGATATCAGGGTTCAAGTTGAATAACTGGGGCTGCATCTTAGAGTCTACGTTAGAAACGCAGCATCTCAGCACGATCTCCCTCTCAGGAGCATGCCTGCTCCTTTCCCTCCCCACGGGCGTGCATCTCCTAAACTCTAAGGCAGCAGCCGCCAACCTTTCGGACCTCAAGGACCACCAGTGGTCTGCGGACCACCGGTTGGCAACCACTGCTCTAAGGGACTCCATGAGACTTGTAACCAGGGCAGCAATGGGCAGTGGCAGCTCACTCCTGAAGCTTTCTCTTACTCTCCAGTGGCTGACACAGCCCTGCCTTGGCTTACTTCTTTCCTGCAATGTTTCTGGAAAGCCAAAGCAGCCCTGCCTGGTCTCTTTCCTCTTGTTTTCTCTACCCTAGGCCCTTCCTTGTTCCCCAGCTTAATAACGTCCTCTCAAAATCACCTGAACGCATGTTGTGAAATCTTTCCTGCACTAAGTCAAGAACTCACACACTCCAGGCCGGCCCGAGGTCAGGTCCTTGCTTGGTAACATTTTCTGATGACCCAGATGGACCTTGTTTCTGGAGCCTATGCAGCCCAGCTGGCTCACTCCTACCACCTCCTTCACCTTCAACTTTGTCAGTAACAACGGGTGCCATTTTGGCATCAAGACCACAGGTAGCATACAGTGCCGTAACTCAGATCACCTATAATTTACCTGAGCATCTGATGATATCACCAGAGATATTTAAACTGCAGATAAAGAGGATCTATCAGATTTCACTGCTTGCTTTCATTCCAACAAAAGAAACTTTGTCTTACATAAAAAAATGTTCTTGACTGAAAATCTTACAAACTCAGAAACTACTTTATAATTTGTTCTGACCATTAACCTTTGTTTTTATTCTTCTGTTTCCATAAGCATATCTCTTATTAAATACCTGGCTGCTTGTTTAAAAAAAAAAGAAATGTGGCATCTCATACGATAACACAAACTCAAGACTTGTCTTTTACCATTTATCTTTAAAGTAATGTACAAATGAAGTGATGCAAGTTACAATTTTGCCCCTCTTCCAAAAACACACAATATAAACCAAAACAAATGGACAAATAAAGGAAACACAAAAGAAAACTAGAATGACCTCAAAATGTTTCAGTAGGGAACTCTATGAAATCTAGTTTTCCTATTCTTTTCCCTCAACTTAAAATTCACACGCTATGGTGGCCAGAGAGTATAGGTGTGACTATAAAATGATCTTGATTTTCAAAAGTGAACTGTGAAATCAGCTACACATCTTAATCCTTCTCTTAGAGGCTATTTCATAGAAAAGTCATAAACAAAAGAATGAGGGATTGAAGCAAGTTTGGCAAGAGAACCAAAACGGAATTCTGAGAAAATCTATTCTTTACAATGTCATAAAATTCTAACATATCAGACTCAAAATCTAGCCAATGAACAACCTCCTGATCCTGAAAACATAGAAAAAGGGCAAACCGTACAATCAGCATTCATACCTACTAACTTTCATTTTAAAATATACTTGAGCCCAGCCAGCATGGCTTAGTGGTTGAACATCAACCTATGAACCAGGGCACATGCCTTGGTTGTGGGCTTGATCCCCATTAGGGGGAGTGCAGGAGGCAGCTGATCAATGATTCTCTCTCATCGATGTTTCTATCTCTCTCCTCCTCTCCTTTCTGAAATCAATAAAAATATATTTTAAAAAATACTACATTTGGGAGATATCTGAAAATTCAAAATCTTTTCTTAATATTCAATAATTTCAAAGTTAAGGACATTTATTCCTGATTGGGGAAATATAACACTGCATTAGTTAAAGCCCAAAATATTATTTATAATCTTGTTTGTAAACCATTTAAATTTTAAACCATAATTAATGTTAGGAATACCTCCGAAATTTTGTTGTTAAAGCTTTCTGGAGCCATACACTGTGTGAATTCCCTCCCTCAAGAACTGAAGCGAGAGTCATATATTAGCCAGATGTGTTTTCCACGCTCATTCTTTTTAACGAAGTGGCTTGTTTCAAAGGCTTTCTGAGGCAGCCTGCAGATGCTGCCCATACAGAAGCACGTCCCTGGGCCAGGAAGAGCGAGCCCTGCATCTGGCGACACTTCCCACCGCACCGAGTGAGCCGGGCAGGTGCTGCCACAGCCACTGAGGTGTGCGCATCCCAGCACTAACAGACACTAGACCTCAGGAGCACCCTGGGCATGACTTTTAACCTTTTAGCCCAGGAGATACTGGGCTAGAGCTTTTGTACACGTGTAAGAGCTTTCTCAACACCTTAAGCCAGAGAACAGCAGAGACCAGTACAGGAAGGAATGTTCCCGGGTGTGCATGGCAGTAGAGGTAGAGAAGGGAACAACTTCAGCACAGAGACATAAAGCGTCACGGAAGGCCGTGCAAGGTGGTTAGTGAGAAGCCAAGCACTGTCCAGGAGCCCTCAGACTCGGGTGCCCCACTCATGACCAACCTGCCGTGGCCCTGCATGTCCCCAAGCTCCTTCTGCAGCCTCGCGTTCTTCTCCTCTTCCTCCAGCAGCCTCCTCTTCACAGTGCGCAGCTCCTGCTGGGCCTCACACTTGATGTCATTGGCCACCACCACCGCCGTCTGCAGGTCCGCCTGGAAGCGCCTCCACTCCTCGGTTTCCTCCTGAGAATGCCAGAGCCCCCACACACATCAGACGCCCACCAGGGCTGGCACCCTGGCGGGGCTCCGGGTCCCCCGTGCCCAACACTGAGAAAGACCAGCTCGGCAGTCTTAGTGAGGCGCTGGCATCTCACTACAGGGAAAAGGCACAGGTGGGAGTCAGGCCTTCGTGCTATCAGAGTTCTCCATCCTGAAACTGAATGGTCGCTTTAATTTTACTTCCTGCCAACACTCACCTGGGCCCATGCCATGGAAATGCACTATGAAAAAACAGGCTAGGCTAGCGAGAGTAATCAGGGTATTTTTCAAAGGTTTCCAAACCTAAGGGGGATTCCGGTAAAGTGGTGGAGAAGGTCCCCGACCCTGCTATAACCACATCTCACCTTTATCTGCTTAGTCAGAGTCTTCAGCTGCCTCTCCAGGTCTGCTTTCTGTTCCTCCAGCTTCATCACACTGCCTAGGAGCAAAGAAGTCAGACAGCAGTTGGCAGAGTTGTGAGACTCTTGGGAAAAGGTAAGCAAGGTAGCAAAGGAGCAGCTCCGGATTTGCAACAGGCGCTAAAATCCACCCACTCTACTGTGAATCCCACCCTCAGCACCTGAACACTGGGAGCCAGAAGCAGGAGGTTCTTCTAAAAGAGAGCACGGGATGAACTGAAAAACATGTGGGTTTTGGTTAGGTTACACCCAGGTCACAGGCGCTGTGGGAAGAGACCTACAGCTCCTCACACTTGTTACCCTCACTCGTGGCCTCCCTGAGTTCTGTACATATCGTCCTGAATGTCCTCAGCGCTGTGAGGCTTCTGGTAACAGAGGAGATGACTAGTTAGTACCGTGGTGCCTCTCAGGCCCATTTCTAGAGCTGCAGTTCTTAATCACAGTGAAACCTCAGAGTCACTTGGGAAGCTTTTCAAAAGCACAGACGTCCAAGCCGCAGACTCCGATCATGGAGTTGGAATCCCCAGGGCAGAGGAATGTGGGTGTGTGTACTTTCAGAGCTTTCAGTGACGTGACTACGTCTCCCTCACTCAGAACATCTTTAGCTCCTCACTCTGTCTGTCTCCAGTTCTCTCCCGTTACTGTCAGAGTCTTTTCACTTTGAATCTGACCATGTCCTCTACCTAGTCACAATCCTTCAATGCTTCCTCGCGATCCACTAAAGAGCAGCAGTTGTCTATTAAGAATATGAATCAGAATTATCAGAGAAGCTTAAAAAGTCCCACAGGTTTAGGTCCTCCCCCAGAAATTCTAATTCAGCATGTGAGGCCCAAAAATTTGTGTTTGGGTCAGTGCTGCAGAACGAGAAAATGCTCCTTAACGTTTAAGTTCACTTTTCTGTCCATTTCTTTCAAGGATCTTATGAGGAGGAGTGATTATCCTTGGCTGGGTTTGTGTGTCCCTGGGCACCACCCTATTGTCTGTGTCCCATGGGTTGTCCCACAGTCTGTGCCATGTTTCCATGTCTCTGCATCTATTTTGTTCATCCGTTTATTTTGTTCATTAGATTCTACATATGAGTGAGATCATGTGATACTTGTCTTTCCCTAACCGACTTATTTTACTTAGGATGATACTCTCCAAGTCCCTCTATGCTATCTCAAAGGGTAAGAGACTCTTCTTTTTTACTTCTGCATACTATTCTATGGAGTAAATGTCCCACAGCTTTTTTATCCACTCATCTGCTGATGGGCAATTGGGCTGTTTCCAGACCTTAGCAATTGTAAATTGTGCTGCTATGAACACAGGGGTGCATACATTCTTTCTGATTGGTGTTTTGGGTTTCTTAGGATATTCCTAGAAGTGGGATCACTGGGTCAAATGGCAGTTTCATATTTAATTTTTTGAGGAAACTCCATACTGTTTTCCATAATGGCTGCAACAGTCTGCATTCCCACCAGTAGTGTACCTGGGTTCCCTTTTCTCCACATCCTCACCAGCACTTGTCATTTGTTGATTTGCTGATGGTAGCCATTCTGACAGGTCTGAGATGGTACCTCATAGTCATTTTAATTTGCATCTCTCTGATGATCAGTGACTTTGAGCATTTTTTTCATGTCTCATGGCCATCTGTATGTCCTCTTTGGAGAAGTGTCTATTTAGGTCCTTTGCCCATTTTTCAATTAGATTGTCTTCCTTTTGTTAAGTTGTATGAGTTTCTTATATATTTTGGATATTAACTCTTTATCAGATGTATCATTCATTGCCAGATATGTTCTCCCATACGGTGGTTTCTTTTTATTTTGTTGATGGGTTTTGTTTTTTTTGTTTTTTGTTTTGTTTTTTTTGCTGTGAAGAAACTTTTTATTTTGATGCAGTCCCATTTATTTTCTTCTTAGTTTCCTTTGCCCTAGGAGATGTATCTATAAACATATTGCTATGAGAGGTGTCTGAGATTTTGCTGCCTATGGTTTCTTCTGGGATTTTTATGGTTTCATGACTTACATTTCAGTTTTATATTCATTTTGACTTTACTCTTGTGTATGGTGTAAGTTGGTGGTCTAGTTAACATTTTTTCCATCTATCTGTCCAATTTTCCCAACACCATTTATTGAAGAGACTCTTTTTTTTTTCTTAATATATTTTATTGATTTTTTACAGAGAGGAAGGGAGAGGGATAGAGAGTTAGAAACATCGATGAGAGAGAAACATCTATCAGCTGCCTCCTGCACACCCCCCACTGGGGATGTGCCCACAACCAAGGTACATGCCCTTGCCCGGAATCGAACCTGGGACCCTTCAGTCCGCAGGCCAACGCTCTATCCACTGAGCCAAACCAGTCAGGGCTGAAGAGACTCTCTTGACTCCCATATTCTCTTGCCTCCTTTGTCAAATAATTGAGCGTAATAATTCGCTTGGGTCAATTTCTGGGTTCTCTTTTCTGTTTCATTGCTCTATATGCCTATTCTTATGCCAGTTCTAGGCTGTTTTGAGTACAGTAGCTTTGTAGTATAATTTGAAATCTGGCAATGTGATTCCTCCATCTTTGTTTTTCTTTCTCAAAATTGCTGCAGCTATTCGGGGTCTTTTTTGGTTCCATATACGTTTTTGGAGTATTTGTTCTAGCACTGTGAAATATACCATTGGTATTTTAATAGGGATTGCATTAAATTTGTAGATTGCCTTGGGTAGTATGAACATTTTAATGATGTTGAGTCTACCAATCCATGAACATGGAGTATTCTTCCACTTGTTTATGTCTTCCTCTATGTCTATTTTCAATGTCCTCTAGTTTTCTGAGGACAGGTCTTTTACCTCCTTGGTTAAGTTTATTCCTAAATATCTTAATTTTTTTGTTGCAATGGTAAATAGGGTTGTTTGTTTAATTTCTCTTTCTGAGAATTCATTATTGGTATATAAAAAAAAGCCATCGATTTTTGAGTGTTGATTTTGTATCCTGCTACATTGCCAAATTCATTTATTCAATCTAGTTTTGTTGTTGTTGAGTTTTTAGGTTTTCTATGTACAATATCATGTCATCTGCGAATAATGAGTTTTACTTCCTTTTTTCCAATTTGGATGCCTTTTATTCTTCTTCTTGTCTGATCACTGTGGCTAGGACTTCCAGTACTATGTTGAATAAAAGTGGTGAAAGCAGACATCCCTGTCTTGTTCTTAGGGGAAATAGTTTTAGTTTTTGCCCACTGAATATGATGTTGGGTGTAGGTTTGTCATATATGGCCTTTATCATGTTGAGATATGCTCCCTCTACTCCTACTTTGCTGAGAGTTTTTATCAAAAATAGGTGTTGGATTCTGTCAAATGCTTTTTCTGCATCTATTGATATGATCATGTGATTTTTGTCTTTCAATTTGTTTATGTGATTTATCACGTTTATTGATTTTCAAATACTGTACCAGCCTTGCACCCCTGGAATAAATCCCACTTGGTCATGGTGTATGATCTTTTTAATATATTGCTGGATGTGATTTGCTAAAATTTTGTTGAGGATTTTAGCATCCATGTTCATCAGGGATATAAAGTTTCTTTCTTTGTAGTGTCTTTATCTGGTTTTGGAATTAGGATAATGCTGGCCTCATAAAAAGAGTTTGGAAGTGTTCCTTCCTCTTGGATTTTCTGAAATAGTTTGAGGAGTATAGGTGTTTGTTCTTTTTTTAATGTTTGGTGAAATTCCCCTGTGAAGCCATCCAGACCTGGGCTTTTGTTTGCTGGTAGTTTTTTTTTATTACCGCTTCTATTTCATCAGTTGTTATTGCTCTATTCAGGTTTTCTGATTCCTACTGGTTCAGTTTTGGGAGACTGTATTTTTCTACGAATTTGTCCATTTCATCCATATTGTCCAGCTTGTTGGTATATAGTTGTTCATAGTATTTTCTTACAATCCTTTATATTTCTGTGGTGTCAGTGGTTACTTCTCCACTTTCATTTCTGATTTTACTTATTTGGGTACTCTTTGTTTCCTGATGAGTCTGGCTAATGGCTTATCAATTTCGTTTCTCCTTTCAAAAAACCAGCTCTTGGTTTCACTGATTTTATATTTTTTTTAGTCTCTGTGTTATTTATTTCTGCTCTAATCTTTATTTCCTTCCTTCTACTTAATCTGGGCTTTTCTTATTGTTCTCTTTCTAGTTCTTTAAGTTGTATGGCTAAATATTTTATTGCTAATTTTTCTTGTTTTTTTGAGGTAGGCCTATAGTGCTATGAACTTCCCTCTCAGGACTGCTTGTGCTGTATCCCAGAGATTTTGGGTTGTTGTGTGCTCATTTTCATTTGTTTCCTGGAAATTTTTTTATTTCTTTCTTGATCTCATTGGTAACCCATTCATTGTTTAATAACATGCTATTTAGCCTCCATGTATTTGATTGTTTTTCAGTGTTTTTACTGTAGTTGATTTCTAATTTCATTCCACTGTGATCCGAGAAGATGCTTGATATGATTTCAATTTTCTTGAACTTATTGAGACTTGTTTTGTGTCCTAACATGTGGACTGTCTTTGTGAATGATCCATGTGCACTTGAGAAGAATGTATATTCTGCTGCTTTGGGGTGAAATGTTCTATAAATGTTCAATTAAATCCATCTGGTCAAGTGTGTCCTTCAGAGTCACTGTTTCCTTGTTTAGTTTTTGTCTGGAAGATCTATCCAGTGAAGTCAGAGGGGTGTTAAAGTCACCTACTATGACTGTATTGTTGCCCATCTCTGCATTAAAGTCCTCTAGAAGATTTTTTAATATAATTAGGTGCTCCTATATTGGGTGCATATATATTTACCAGGGTTATATCCTCTTGTTGGATAGATCCCTTTAGTATTATGTAGTGACCTTTGTTGTCTGTTGTGATGACCTTCATTTTAAAATCTATTTTGTCGAATATGAGTATTGTTATTCCAACTTTTTTTCTTCTATTTGCATGGAAATTTTTTCCCATCCCTTCACTCTCATCCTGTGTGTGTCTTTTGTTCTGAGGTGGGTCTCTTGTAGACAGCATACAGTTGGGTCATGTTTTTTTATCCATTCAGCTACCCTATGCCTTTTGATTGAAGCATTTAATCCAATTACATTTAGGGTTATTATTGATAGGTACTTATTTATTGTTATTTTAACACTGTATGCCTAGGTTTCTCTGTTTCTCCTCATTAGATCAGTCCCTTTGGCTCGGAGGTGATATACTCCTTTAGCCTTTTTTTGTCTGGAAAGCTCTTTGACTGTCTATTTTGAATGATAGCCTTACTCGATATAATAATCTTGGTTTCAGATCCTTGCTTTCCATTACCTTGAGTACTTGATGTCATTCCCTTCTGGCCTGTAGAGTTTGTGATGAGAAATCAGCTGACAGCCTTATGGGAAGCTCCTTTGTAGAATTGCTTTTCTCTTGCTGCTTTTAATATTCTCTGTCTTTAATTTTTGGCATTTTAATTATGATGTGTCTGGGCGTGGGCCTGTTCAGGTTCTTCTTGCTTGGGACTGGCTGTGCCTCCTGAACTTGTGTGACTTTTTCCTTCACCAGGTTAGGGAAACTTTCTGCCATTATTTCTTCAAACATGTTCTCTATCCCTTGTTCGCTTTCTTCCTGGTACACTTATTATGTGAATATTGTTATGTTTCGTACTGTCCCACTGCTCCCTTAAGCTGTCCTACTGTTTTTTAATTGATTTTCCTTTCTGGGTCTCTGATTGAGTGGTTTTTTCTACCCCGTCTTCTAATTCACTGATCCAATTCTCGGCTTCTCCTAATCTACTGTATATTCCTTCCACTGTGTTCCTTATTGGTGCTATGTCATTCTTCATAGTTACTATATTTTTTCTCATGCTGTTGAGCCTCTTTGTCATCATTATTCTAAACTGTATGTCTGATAAATTTCTTATCTCCATTTCATTTAGCTCTTCTTCTGGAGAATTCTCTTGTTCTTTCATTTCAGGCTTTTTTTTGGCGGCCTGTTTGGGTTTGTGTCTGTGTATTAAGTAGATCTACTATGGCTTCTAATCTCTAGTGCAGGACAATGTCAGACTCTGTTCGTGATTGACCCTGAGTACCCTGTTTGTAGCTATTAGCAATCCATAGCTTGTGGCTCCCTCTGCTGGGACTGGGTGCCTTTGGAAAAGACCAAGATGTGCACCAAGGTCTGCTTTTGCTAGCCCTAGGCCCAGAAGGGAGCTATTTATGTTTTATACAATAACTTTGTTTGCCAGTGTCTTTGTTTAAAAAAAGCCCCTCCCATCAATGCTGGACACCTGCTTGCCCACATAACCCTTTTCCTGCATAACAGGTATTTTTAAACATTTCCCATAGCCGCCTGATCTGCAGAACCTGCCTCACCTGCAAGTTTTTAACTTTTCTCACTCACTGTGTTGCCCTTGAGCCATGCAAGCCCAGCACCCACTGAGAAGAGTTTAGTCCTTTCCTGATCCTGGAAAATGTGATTGCAAATTTGTCTGCTTTTTACTTTACAGTAATGCTGTCCACTATGTTTTTTGTGTGTGGTTTTTAATTGGCTGTTACCGCATGAAGCTACAAATTTGGCCGTTTTTCCACAGCTTCATCAAACACCACAGACTTTACTTTTAGCACCTTCTGGAGCAATCTCCTGTGCAGACTGGTGAACTTCCTCTAAGTTTTGGTTAACATTGAATGACTCAATGAACACTGCTGATTTGCTAAGACTGAATTCACACCCAAGAGCACTAGAATCGGGTTTCAATAAAGCTGGTCTAACACACCTGTTTTCTCCACAAGATGCATCACAGCTTTTCTGCACCTTGGGACACTACACAGCATTTGGGAACTACACTTGGGGTTCATTTCAAACAGTGAAAGCACCAACAAAAAGCACAAAAATGCAAAAATCATGGCACTAAGTAAACCATGAAAAAGACTTGTTTACAGTGGGAGAGGTGAAGTGAGAAGGTGTCACCAAGTTCAACCTGAGCTGGGGTGCACTTTGGGAGACTCAAATTTTTCACTGCCCTGCGCACGTCTGCAAATGACCGTGGAGGTGTCGCAAACTCTGATTTTGAAGTTACAAATAACTTCTGTCAAGTGGGTGAACTCACAAATATGGATTCCATGAATGATCAGTTTGACCTATGTATGCTATTTTTAGCAATGGTTAGTGTCACTAAAAGATCTATGCATTAATTCTTTTGTTACAAAAGCAAAACACATTAAATGAGATCATTTGATAAGACTTAATCTGGACAAAGCAGGCAATATTTGACTGATCATTTTAAACATGTCTTTCCCTATTCAAAGCAGACAATGACTTTGTAAATAAGCCATATACTAGTGCCTCTTCAGTGACAAAATGGCCACCTTTTCAGTTATTTGATATCCTACCATCAATAGGACACATGCTGAAAGTGTTTTCCGACACCAAGAGCACACACTGTTCAGATACTCTATCTGTCACCCACCTTTTTAGCCATCAATCCTGAAAGAGGACACATTGTTATGCCTGACGAGTGTGTTCAGCAGTGTGGCTCACACACAGTATACCTAACACCCCACACTGTTGACTCACGTACAACAATCTTTTCTTCTACATCACCCAGTTTTCAACTTAGTTTAAGAGATTAATTATTCTGTCTTTTTAATTGCCATTCTTCTTAGGAGATTATAGAACATTTAAAAGAAAGGCTTTTCATAAACATTCTTACATACCATCTCCCAGTTACCCACTGCTGCTGGTTTCTTTTATATCCTACCCACTCCTGATTGACATTTCATCAGGGCTTGATTTCACTTACTTTCTAGCTCACTGATGAGTTGATTATTATGTAACTTGACAGCTCGATGCTGTTCCACCTGATCTTCCAATTCAAATATGGTTTCCTTCATGTCTTTAATCTCTGCATCACTCTCTGATGCTTTCTCTTGTAGTTTTAGGCTGGTTCTGCTCAGCTGTTCTGCTTGATGATCACATATCTCCTTCAAGTAAGAATAATCCTTCTCCACCTAAAATAAAAGGAAAGTTCCCTGGTCAATGTAACAGGAAAAAGTTCTCCACACATTAGCACCAGGCTCCTCAACACAACAGCAGAGAAAGCGCTTGGCACATGCCACACCTGGCAGCACAGACACAGCCAAGGCTATAAATACGCAGAGAAATGTGATACATACACAAGGACAAACGGGTGGATTCTGTACCCCTTTCTACCAACATAAAGAAAGCTACGCATACTTAGATATCCTCCTTTCAGGCATCTGGGTAAAGCAGCGCTTCACACTGGGAGGCTGGGGCGGCTGCCTTACTTCACATCTGCTGTGGAGCAGCGCCGCCTGCTGGGAAGCCAGGAACAGCACCCTAAATCCTGACATCCCCAAATCTCTTTCACCATCAAATACTTGTGGCTACAGTGGTTTCTCTTGGAGTTATATAACATTAATGTCACAGAGAACACCAGTTGAAGGCACAGAACATAGAAATGTGCAGGCACCAGACAAAGAAAAGTTGCACAGCACAGAAACTCATTTTACCTTTTCAATTTTTAATCATTAAACATTTAATGTGCAGAAAAGCACCAAAAGTGATGAGATAACCATACAGACTTAACAATGGTGAAATTCTGCCAACATTTATTAAATCTTTTTACTTTAATAAGATTTGTTAAGACCTCAACTTTCTCCCACCCTAGAGAGCAATATGCATTATTCTAAAATTGGTGTGTGGTCATTCCTTCCGTGGTTTTTATACATAAAATTTTTACACAGATGATGTTATAGTATACTATGCTTTTACAGTGTGCTGTATTATACTGCATTATATTATATGGTAATGTGTTTTTGCCCTGTATTATACTATGTTTATTATGCTTTTATAACTTGTTTTTGAGATATATTCATACTGATATACATTGCTCTAGGTCATTACTGCAAATGCTGCACAGCATTCCACTGTCTGAATATACTAATTATTTTATTATTATGAACTGTCCCTCTTCTATAGTCTTTCAATTTCTATTACCAAATAGTTGTATATTTACCAGGTATTGTAAGCCTGATTGATACCTAACAGATTTTTTCCTAGATTTGGAGGGGTTTCCATATACAATATGTTTTTTCCAAATGTATTTCATGTGCAAACCTTCTGGCTGTACACTCTATGGAGACAGGGCCCTGTATGCTTTCTTCACCTTTCTATCCCTATGGTCAGCCCTAATGAATTATCTGACAAATGAACGAACAGTGAAAGGAAGTATTGCACTGTTTTTCAATTGGGAGGTTGTGGGAAGAATAAAAAAGAAAGGGAAGGAGAGAGAGAATAAGAGAGAGTGCAACATGGGAAAGAACCAGAGTACATTGCCTACGTTAAGGGTGAGTATTTTCTGTGAAACTTGTTTCAATTATAAGGTGTGGTTCTGTGTCACAATACATGTCATTGTAGGTTGCTGTCATAAGTTTGAAAGCTACTGTAGTTCATGAAAATGACTAAGGGTGGGGACCTGGAGCCAGACTGCCAGAGTTTAAATTGCAATACTACCTGAGAGAGCTGAAGGGACAGCCACCAGGGTCCCCTGCTGAGTCCCTCTCCCACACGGCTCACAGACACCATCTTTCCTGGTGGAACACTCCCCTCCATACGGGAATGCACTAGCCCCCCTGCCCCTCCAGACTCTCTGTCCTCCCACCCTGACAAGCTCACACCCTCTCAAAGAGTGAGCCGCCTGAACCCATGGTGTAGACCAGGGGTCCTCAAACTGCGGCCCGCCAAAAACATTTATTCGGCCCGCTGGGTGTTTTTGCTGCCGCTGCCTGTCCGGCTTAGCAGCCGACTCGTCCCGGGCCCGCAGTGCGCATGTGTGGAATGTCTGAGGGACAGTGAACTGGCCCCCTGTTTAAAAAGTTTGAGGACCTCTGGTGTAGACTTTCTGGGAGGCCTCTTGAGGACAAGCTCAGGGGTATCAGAGACTGAGTTGTGTGTCTCTGGGGTGGGACCCTCCCCATGCTGGACAGGTGCTGCCCCCTCACAGGAGACCTACTAGCCCAGGGGTGGGCAAACTTTTTGACTCGAGGGCCACAATGGGTTCTTAAACTGGACCGGAGGGCCGGAACAAAAGCATGGATGGAGTGTTTGCGTGAACTAATATAAATTCAAAGTAAACATCATTACATAAAAGGGTATGTGAAATTAAATACATATTTGATTTTAATTACACAAATGTGTTTACATAAGTAAAAACAGGTAAATAAACTAATTTGCCAATTTTTAACATACACATTTGGAAAACTAACTTTATTATATCACAGACTTTTGGTTTTAACAGACACCTCCTTGCTAGAATTAGCCTTTTGATCAAGGTTTTACTATACCAAAAAAACAAAACAAAACAAAACAAAACAAAAAAACCACAAATACATGGAGGCTAAATAACATGTTACTAAACAATAAATGGGTAAACAAGGAGATAAAGGAAAAAATAAACAAAAGATACCTTGAGACAAATGAAAAAGAAAACATAACAACACAAAATCTATGGGACACAGTGAATGCAGTCCTAAGAGAAAAATTCATAGCAATACAGGCCAACTTCAAGAAACAAAAACAATCTCAAATAAATAATCTAACCTTATACCAAAGGGAACTAGAAAAAAAACAACAAAGCCCAAAGTGAATAGAATGAAGGAAATAATATATATCACAGAGAAAGTAAACAAAATGGAGTCTAACACACAATTCAAAAGATCAGTGATATCATGAGCTGGTTCTGTGAAAAGAAATAAAATTCATAAACCTTTAACCAGACTCATCAAGAAAAAAAGAGGACCCAAATAAATAAAATAAAAAATGAAAGAGATGCCCTAGCCAATGTGGCTCAGTAGATAGAGCACTGGCCTGTGAAACAAAGGGTCCCAGGTTCAATTCCGGTCAAGGGCACATACCTTGGCTGTAGACTCCTCCCTGGCCTGGGTCCTGGTCGGGGCATATGCAGGAGGCAACCAATCGATGTGTTTCTCTCACATTGATGTTTCTCTCTGTCTTTCCCTCTCTCTTCTACTCTCTCTAAAAAAAAAATCAATGAAAAAATATCCTCGGGTGAGGAATTAAAAAAAAAAAGGAAGACAACTGACACTTTAGAAATACAATTAATTAAAAGAAAATACTATGGACAATTATATGCCAACAAATTAGAACAATCTGGAAGAAATGAATAAATTCCTAGAAACATACAAACTTTCAAAACTGAATCAAGAAGAAACAAAAAATCTGAACAGAAGAATTATCTCTATATATAAAAGGCCAGTGACTAACGCCATCACGACCATAACAATCTAACTACCAGTCGCTATGACACCCACTGTGGCCAGTGAACCAGCCTGATCCGGGCCAATCACCCCCAACACCCAAATCAGGATGGGGCCAGCCGGCCAACCGCCTCGGCTGGCAGAAATTTGGGGTCCAGGGACCTTGGAGTTGCTCGGTCTCAGTCTCGGGCAGCTGCGTGGGCAAAGCTCTCCTTTGGCAGAAGTGGACCCAGGATCAGGGCACTGGAGTCAGGGATGGAGTGGGGAGGCTTTCCTGGTGGCCACAGCAGTCCCCGCGGGCTGCGCACAGCACCTGGGCGTCTGGCCCTGGTCGGAACAGCGGCAGGAATAGGGGCCGCGGGGCGCAGGGGGCAGTGGCACACAGGAGCCAGGAGGTGCAAGGCCCGACGTGGGCTCTTACCCCACCCGCTGGGCCCAGCAGCACCAGCAGGTGGGCCATGATGTGCAGCGAGGTGCTGGGTTGCAGACAGAGGGGAAGTGAGCCAGGAGAGCAAGGCCCTGCTCCAGACAGAGCCCCGAGTGGCTTGGGCAGGGCCGGAGCTGGAAACCCTGGTGGGGTGGGCGGGGCTGCAGCCCCATGCCTTTTCGGCCTTAGCCTTGGAATTCAGAGGTCAGCCCCACTTCAAGAGAGAGGAAGTGGCAAGGCCACAGGAGGGATAGGAAATGTTGTGGCCATCTTCGGGAAACACAGCTGCCACAGATAATCTTTGGTCTCGATTCTACAGAAGAGGAAGCTGAGACTCAAAGAAGGGAGCCTTCTGCAACACCTCACCCACTTCTCAGACCTGACCCTGTGCAGCATTGTTTTCATTGAAAATAGAGGATCCAAAATGTTTTTACATCTTTGCTATTTTAGGGAGGAAAGAATTTAGCACAGGGAATTGGTGCTTGGGAAATCATCGGAAAGCTGGAGGAGTGGGTATTAGGCTGGGCCCCCAGGAAAGACTCCCTGCCCAGCAGGAGGAGCTGCCCCTTCAGCCACAACTGAATTCTAGGACACTCTGGCACAGCTGTGACCGGGGAATCAGGAAACTGCTGTCCTGCAAGTGTCACTGGGCACTGCCTCTGCCACAACTGCCTGTGCACAGCCTGGATTCTACTGCAGAAAACCTCCACATCTCTGCAAACATGATCACCAGCAGCAAACAGCCCAAACTGTGGGAAGATGCCTCTGCCCCACTTCTTCCTTCAAAATATTGTGCAAGCACATCCAATCGGCAGAAATGAATTCATATCCAGAAACCTAGCTGCAAAGGAGTTTGGGCAATTTCAGACTTTTGTCTAGGAGTGAGATCTTGCCAATGTACCTCATGTGCCTGGTATTGATAAAAATGGGGCCTGGCTGGTGGGGCTCAGTGGTTGAGTATCAATCTATGAACCAGGAGGTCACGATATGATTCCTGGTCAAATTTTGGGCTTGATCCTCAGTAGGGGTGTGCAGGAGGCAGCTGATCAACGACCCTCATCATTGATGTTTCTATCTATCTCTCCTTCTCCCTTCCTCTGAAATCAATAAATATGTTTTTTAAATGGGGTCATGCTGTATATATGTGTTATAATGACTTTTTCACTTCATAGATCACTAATGTCTTTCCTGTTAAAACCATACTTAGAGAACATTATTTATCATTCATTTTAATTAATCTCAGAGAGAAGAAGGTAGAGAGAGAGAAACATTGTTCCATTGTTTC